ACCTTTTAAATGCTTATGCTAATACTTTTTCACTGAAAACAAAAAGTTTATAAAGGATAAGGCCCAAAAAAAATACTGTTAAATTTTTAGTAGTATTCTGTGTTACCACATAATGAACATTTTCAAAATAAAATAATTAAATTATATTGCCATCTATTAAAAATTAAATCACTAAACAAATCACAAAAAAAGGGAAAAGTCCTTATTTCCTTATCAAAATAAAAACATTTAATTTATTAACCATCTATTGATAGTAAAATCCTTAAACAAAGTCACAAAAAAATTAAAAGCATCCGTATTTTTCTGAGTGTATAAAGTCTAAAAAAGTTAGGAATAAAAAATTATCTTTGAAATTAATCCCTCAACTAATGTTATACTGATATTGTAAGCAAGAAATGCCAAACATTAAAAGCGCAAAGTCCAATTTTTCAGGAAAATACCATTTAAATGGGGTAAAATTTCTTGCTGTGTAGCAGCTTAACCAGGCGGCAGGGCCTCTGTTTATCTTGCTGCTGTCAGTGGCAAGAACTCTTCCCGCTCAATTGTGGGCTGACATTTAGGAAAGCCCGGGAGATTTTGCTCAGTCATTTCGCATTCAAAAACCACTCGAGTGGCCACGGGTGGGCGGGGTGAAAGTAAGTGGGCGTGGGCGTGGGAAAAATACTTACAGCTCGTGCCAACCCAGACTATTGACCGACTTCTGAAAAGGCTCTGCTTGATCTGAGTAAAGAATAAAAATATACCTCCCTTCACCCAATAATGAAATGAGATCTTTGGCCACAGCCCTGCGTATAACAATTTAAGCCACGAACAATTCGCATAGCCAAAAACATTTCCAGGAAGTTCGCCTTAAATTCAAGTATTCCAGAACAACGCATTCAATTGATTGAATAAAAGTTGATGGCATTTTGTATGAATGGATATGAATTGATGTGAGGTCAATGCAATATTCGAGGCAGAGCCAAGGGAATGATAGATGGCGAGCTGAAAAGTATAAATAAATGGCATGACCAAAATTGATTCATTGAAATATTTCTTAACGTAGCTCACAATCTGGCACGCTCCATTGCAGCTTAAAGTAAAGCATGTAGGATTAAAGTTTGGTAAAAAATAAATGAATTTTACGCCCAAGATTTAAATGCCCACCAGAGAATACTGTCATAAAAACATGAAATCTGTGCACAGGTGGGCGAGGTCCATCTGCTCTCGACATTTTCCAGAGCCCCGTTCTGGTCCCCAAATGCGATTTATGGGGAGGTCATAAATCTGTGCATCGCAAACACTCGACAAACAATAGACCAGTCGAGTTGCGTTCTTTGTGCCCTTTCTGGCAGTAAACTTCCGGATAATGTCCGCCAAATGAGCTTTAATGGCGGTCTTGTCATCTATTGTCCCTCAATGCAACAGCTAGGTGACATTTATTTTAACCATTTCAGATTTAAAATTTATTTGACAAAGAAAAGGTTTAATGGTTTCGCTTTAAACTACCTTTATTAGATAGTTTTTTAGAAAATATGTAGCATAAATGTAAGTAAATTGTATCTTTAAATAATATTATATTAGGGTTTTCTATGGATATATGTAGCATAAATGTATCTAAATGCTTCCTTTAAAAATAATTTTTAAATACATGAAAATTTCCTGAGGCGGTATTTATATAAACAAATAGAGCTTAGGACTGACCTTTACTTAAAGCTGGCCAATTTCACACAAATGCTTGAGGTAACCTAGCTAATTGGATAAAAAACTTTTGTATTCTTTTTCTTTCATATTTTCCAGCTAATTTCGTCCCTTATAAGTTTCTCCATATACAAATGACCCCAGGCACCATTTAATTTTTCTGCGTTTAAGCTAAAACCACCAAGAGGGTGTATTTTTCCCATCAACATATTACTTGAATACCAAGTTGCTCCAAATCAATGATTCAATTGCGAAATAAGATTACTTTGGGCGAAATCCAGTTCCCGTCAGCATTTAGTTCAACCAACCTTTGACGGATCATAATTGAATCGAGCCAAATAAGTTATTGAATTGAGCGGAACGTCTGCTTCCGTCAACAAATTATCAGCAACAATAACTAAACAACTTATCGAGTGACACAAATCCGAAACGAAAATGGGAGAATATCGAAGAAAATAGCAGGCGGAAATCGACTTAAAGCAGGCAGAAAAAAAAAGTGTTCTGGCTCAAGGATATACTTCGCTTTTTTTTTTGTTTAGCCATAAAAGCAAATTGTTGCCATTTTGTGGATTGGCCGCTTGAAAGCAAGCTCAAGTTGAAATTTTGGCTGTTATTTTTGTTCTTTGGAGGCAGTCGAGAGTCACCAAACGCCAATCGGCGCAGAGGAAATGGGTTATTGAACTGCAAAATGGCCGGCCAGGTGGCAGTTGGCAGGTGGCACTTACTTGGCTGACAGGTGGCGACCGCACGAGGGTCCTGCGGATGGCAGGACTCGCCGGTTTGTTCGTTAAACGCGTCACCACCGGACTTTTTCCCCAAGGGGCCCAGCTCCGCCGACTGTCTGGGTTGCAAAAATTGTTTTTTCGCCCTCTGTGCGTGCTGGGTATTATGGTATTCCCTTTTTTTTCCCTTCTCATTTTGGGTACCAAACACTCGTCCTGCGGGCCTGTCCGTTGATTGCACTTCAGGCGACCATAACAATTAGGCGTAAATTAATGGAATTAACGCGTTGCGCAAATTGTCACCACTCGGTTTTTGGCTTGGGGAGCCGCAATTAAGTGCGAGTCCTTCTATTTTAGCTAAAAAGAAAGCCAATAGCTTTGTTTAGCTAATGGTAAAGAGTTTGAGACACACACACATTTCAGAGGCTGTGGGTGGAATTTAATAGGCGTTTACTTTTAAACAATTCGTTATTTCAGCGATTTGGAACTTTTTCGAGTTATCGTAAAATGTTAACTAACAACTTGTCAAAGTTTTGCACTTAACAAGGCCAAAAGGACCAGCTTAAAGCCCAGAACCATTCGCCCAGATAACAATGTTCGATACATTTCCAGACCGGCCAAATGGGAAACTTTTGGCCCGTAAGAGTGTGTAAACAGTTCGCTGAGTTTGCAGCCCGCTAAGCTGTCTTCACTTCTTCGATTCCCAACAAGTCTTTGCCAACTGTGTTCTTGGCCATGTCTACTCGTATTCTCTGTCCCGATCTGGCGAACACTCGAACTTACGTTTTTATTTCCGCTCCATTTGTCAATCCGCTTTATAGTTTTGCAAGCTGACTTATTTGTTTTTGCTGCTGCCTGTTTTTCCTGGCCAACAGTGGTTGATGCAAAATCGTACGTAGTTGTCCAAGGGGCAGGAAAAAACTTGGCAAACTCAAAGAAAAGCCATATTTATATTATAGGTGGTCACATGCTGTTGAAAAACTATTCAGGTTTCTAGAATTTCAGGAACCCTACGCTTGGAATTAAATATTTAATTAAAAGATTGCTTCAGTTAAATAAAAAATGTAAAATACTAAGATCCTTTTAATATAGGTAGTTTAGGTACTGATTTCACTTTGAAAAAATATATTAAAAGATCTTTTAAAATATAATAAATATGTGTATTTGGGCTTTAATCGTTCAGATGGCTATATAATGGCTATAAACATAAACCCAGTCATTTTAAAGATTATTCGGGTCAGTTAACAAAATCATCCCGATTAAGGCCTGAAATCTCTTGACTCGTGAGCTTGGACATTGCTTTAAAGTGCCTCCCCACCTTTTCCCCGCGGATGTTTTTCTGGTCTGGGATTGGAATGTTTGCTCTATCGATTGCCGCAGAGCGTTAGGAATTTGCCTGCCCTTAGCACCGTTCAGCACCGAACCTTCAGTATCCACTGTCCATCTATCTGCACCTCGGACTGCAAACAAAGGGCGAAAGCCAAAAGCACTCAGACAGCTGGTCAGACAGTACACGCTTCACTGCCCTTTGGTTAAATCTGTGAACCTGGATACCTACCTATACATTTACCATCGATTCCCCCAAAGTTGGCCCGAACACAGAGGAGATTTAAAGGAGTACAAACTGGCTGTTTGTCTTGTGTTTATATGTGGTTTACATAATGAAATCACAAACTTTTGTACTTTATGCCGTCCAACCAGTTTGTTCTACCTCTTTCTAGCCCAATTATCAACTACCTTGCTTCGGGGCCCCTTAACTTTTTCCTATATTTATGCAAATTTGCCATGTATACATGGCGATATTTCATGGCGAACTTTGGCGAATTGCCCGAATTCCGGAGTGCAGGCTCAAATTGTTTTCCTTGGCCCCTTAAAAGCAAAACAGCAGTGAAAGCTATCGAAAATTAAATTCACTTTGATTAATTAAGCCTGCAAAATGAATCTCTACAGGGATCTTGGTGTATCTTGTTACGGTTAATAGCAAAACTTTTGGGTATAGCCGGTAATGTAACAATCGACTTTAGCCGATGGCCTCCCACCTCCGCCAATTTAATGGAGGTTGTGAAACTTTAGCTCCAAGTTAATGCGTCTTATCAATTGATTTCCATCAAATAAAACACTTTCTTGTTTTGCGAAAAGTGAAGCAAATAAATTGGATTTTCCGGGGAGTGGAAAAGTTGCTTAGTTAGTGAGATTCTCTATTCGGGGCATAAATTAGTCGGCCGACTCATTTACTGTTGTCTATTTTATGTGGCCGCAGGGGAAGCAATCAAAGGGAATGTGTTTTTAGCCAAAGTGTTTGGGGTATACACGCTTGAATTTCGAGACTCATCCAGCTATGTTCCGCACTGTACCATGCTCACTTCAGCCTTTAATTCAGTTAGCGGAAGTGCCGCGGGCATTCCAGCTTTTAATTTGGCCTTTGTTGCTCGCAGCCCGGCAATTTCTTTATGCTGCAACTCTTTTATCGCACTCACCTTCTGCTTTTTTGTTTTTGGCGACTTTGTAGCGCGTACTTCCGCTTAATTAAAACCATGGTTCTTGTCCATTCAGCCCCTCCCCTTCTCGAGAGCCAGTAAAACTCAAAGAAAAGCTCGGTTTAAGTTGCCGAATAAATGAAACTTCCTTTATTTGTAGCACACAAAACGTTTAACTTGAGGATCGTATATTGGTATAGTATATGCATATGCCATTATGCGTACATTAGGTTTTCGGTAGGCAAAGGGTTCGTTTATTGCATTTAACATGTAGGGTATTCATGACACAGATATATCTCAGAATATTCTCTTCGGGCCTAAAGATTACAACATTAACACTTTACTAGTTACAAGTTTTTTAGCACTGGGTAATGTTTTATTTGCGTTTAGCAACAATTTGGTTTCTGCTTAGTTGGTAACAACCAGATATCAATATTCATGCGGAAGTTAAAAGGTACAACTCTCAAGTGCCAGTGATATCCTAGCTAACTAATATATATAACAACTCGTCGCCACTTGGCCATCTTAGGTTAGAATGTGGGTCGGAGCAGGCTTCCCCTGATAACTATGTACAATGCACAATGGCTGGCTTACGGAGGCAGTTGCTCAAAGCAAGACCAAATCCGCAGGCGGAGCGGTTGCATCCTGTCCATCCTGCTTCCTTTCAAGTCAAAGGATTGCTCGGTTGCCAGTTAAGCTGCCATTTCAGCTTTTATGTGACTGGGGTCTACACTAAGGAAAAGGATTTAAACTGGTTCTGAAGTACAATATCTTGAACCAGGAAGAGCATTCATTAAAACTCTGTATTTAAATATGAAAATTGTAAACGTTGAGATTTTTAAGTAAGAGCAATAAGTAAAGAGTACTATATCTGCTGATATTTCATACATACTTAAGTTGACTTGCTTCGCAAAAAAGGAATTCTGTATACATTAAGAATATTATTAATTGTTAACTTTGTTCTGTTATAAACAGTCTTTGAAATAAATCATTTTGATTTTATTAAATTTAACTAGTCATAAAAATATTAAGTAACAGGGAATATTAGAAATCTTCATAAAATTTCCATTAAATATGTTCTTAAATGGGATAAGTTACTAATTTATTTTAACTAGTTCTGAAATACGCGGAATTTTCACTCGCCTTCAAAAGTGAGAATAAACCCTTCTTTAATAATTATCTTTTAATCTGTATTTATGCAGATTTAAATGTATTCATAAAAATACTGAATAAGATCATTAAAGATGTTTAATGTCACTTGCTTGAATAAAGATCTTTCATTAATCTCCATTTAAAATGGCAAATTTTTCTGCAATAGGCAGTCCCCCCTAATCTCATTTGTATTTTTCCTCAGTGCATCTTAACTACCAAATTCTATACCCTGGCATCGCTGTACTCGATGCGAACCACGCGTCTTGGCCGCTGCCCCGGCAAGGGAATCGCCCCCAATCCCGATCCCGATCCCGTTCCCCGCAGCGCCAACAGCTCCCGCGGCTACAATTGCGTCCGCTTGGCCACGCCCCCTCCGCCGCCTCCACCGACCAAGGAGGAGGAGGCGGATCCCTCGGTGGTGGCCTCCACATAGGAGTAGCAGGCCGTCTCCATCACCAGCGGATGGCAAATCTCGTAGACGGGCACCTTCAGACTCGTCTTGCGCAACCCGCCCAAGCTACTCTGTGAGCTCGAGCTGGGCCCAAACGATCGTCACCTGGGATCGTTACTCATCTCGGAGTGGTGGAGTTCACTCTCATCCCCAAAACTGTGGGCCGCCGCACTGGGCGTGATGCTAGGTGTCCTGGCCCGGATACGGATGGCCGACATGTCGGATCCACGGCGGGAACTCTTCAGCGAGACGGACTGCCGGGAGCAGAAGCACCGGCAAATTATCCGCTTGAAGGCGAAGCGGAAGTCCTTGGAGAACAGGGCATAGATCATGGGATTCACGGCCGAGTTGCAGTAGCCCAGCCAGAAGAGCACCGAGAAGAGCAGCGGATCCACGCAGTCCTGGCAGAATGGCCGGATGATGTACATGGTGAAAAAGGGGCACCAGCAGAAGATGAACATCCCTACGATGATGGCCAGCGTCTTGGCCGCCTTGGTCTCCATGCGGAATCGCTTCACCTGGGCCTTGATGTTCCTCCTGCCCATCTTCTTGTTGGCCGGACGCGAGTGTCCCGATCCGCCAGCCTCGCTGGTGTTGCTCTGCCGCCTGGCCAACTCCGGCAGACCCTTGCCCACCTGTAGGTAGCAGGAGCTGGCTCCTCCGTGCTGCTGTTGCCGGTAGAGATGGGATTCGGTGGACTCCCGACCATTTGCTCCATTGTAGTGGACGGCAAAGAGGGCATTGCCCGATGGCCGCCGCTCGTGACCCCATCCCCGTGCCCGGCCAGCTCGTTGATGTTCTCGCTGGAGGGATAGGACACAGAGATCTTGATCTTGTCGTGGTGATGCAGTCGTCGAGTGGCGTATTTGGATAGCCTCTCGGGTGAGGGGGTGCCCAGGGTGGTGGTGGTGCTCTGGGTGCTCCCGTTGCTGTGCATGGAGTCCTGCTGGTTGGAGCCTCTTCCTCGATGGATTCGGAGTGTCAAACGCTGCTCCTCGAAGCGCGAACCGATGCCCTTGGAACCTGGTGAAATGGGGAAGGAAAGGGGTAGACAGAGAACATCAGTACAAAGGGTATTACATGTCGGCGGTGTTGTATGTTACTTGTCCTTTACTTTTCCCTACCCTCTCTCTACTGCATCTCTACGTTCCTTCTCCCCTTGAATATCGCTCATACGCCCTGCTGCACGCAGGTCCTCGGAATTCGTTGCCTACTTCACGGCTCTGGAAGCCCTGGAAAAGAGCCAGCTTGCCAGCTCGCCAGCTTGCCAGCCTGCCTGCACTTTAGCAAATTAAACGCGTAATTATGCAAATGTTGCGCCATAAACGCGACAAGCACTCGACGTTGTCGTAGTCCTCGTTTCGGTGTTTCCCCCCCCCCCCCCATCTTCATCAAGAAGTGTAGTCGCCTTTAAGCCGTCTTCAAAGCGAACTTTATTTCATTAACACAACCATTTGCATAATCCTCGCCTTCTCGCCCGCTCATCCTGCCCATATGTCGGTTGGCTCCGCTACGCTTTGCATTTATTACTCATACGCACGTTTAACTGCTGAATACATTTTCATTACTCGACCCGCGACGAGTAATGAATAATCGGCGCAATAATGCAATATTTTACTCGAGCCATTACTGGCACTGTTGCTTCTCCGCCAGCCGCATTAAAAGCTGGCTTATTGTCAAAGAAAGCCTCGATGGCTTTAAGTCTGCCCTCGAGTTTATGGACTGCCCACTCGGATGGGCAGCAGACCATGTGGCTCACAGACAGCCAACTTATATAAGTGGGTGTGGCCAAGAAAGACCCATTCAATTGGATTGCCATTAAGAGGGGGTCTCGAAATCTATAACAGTTGTGAGCCCTACTGGTCAGCGTTTTATGTCATTCCTGGGAATTCTTAAGATGGTAACTGTTAAGAATAGGTATTGTTACTTATTTTTGTGTAAGAATAGCCTAGAATAGCTCTCAAAACAATTTATTTGTATTAAAAAAGAAAAGTTTTCCCTATCGACATTCTTCGTAAGATTAAGAAACTACCTCAGATCTAGATAAATAAATTTATTTTGTAGCGATAGGGAGAGAAAAGGTCTTTAAATTCCCTGCAAGGGTATAATAATAAAGAGTATTTTTACATATAGTTCAAATCAATAAAAAGTATATACCATCTAAAAATTTAAATTTATAAAAACTTTCTTTTCCCTATACCTATCGAGAGGGTGTAAAATCGTCGCCTTAGTGAACAACGTTTGTGGTGCTTGTTTAATGTCACGGAATGTTGACCTCCTGTCAATATACCTGTGTTAGTTACCCGGTGGTATTTGCCAATTTCTGTCTTCTGGGTCGGCACTTGTTTTTATCTTTTGTTCTTACTCTGATTGGATTTCGCTTTTCATTATGTTCGTTTTTTACTTTTATTGAAAATGCAGCCGACTTACACAGCTGCCGATACACACATACATATACATTCAATATATATCTGGATTAACTAATGCGTGTGAGTTTTTCCTCAGCGCCTAACACATGTACACAAACAACGTAACTGAAAACAATGGGCTGCTTACGTCTAACAGGTGTATCTCATGGTGATCCGTATCTGTATCTCATATGGTAAGTATAGTAATGTATAGTAATTATATATATATATATATAGTTTAACATAGCCTTAGGTCTAGGTAAATACATGAAAATTATTGCCATACAGTTACAACGTCGTTCAATGCGAATACTGACAGTTTTGAGAAGTGGGATACGTCGGCGTCTGGCGGTGCTTACAAAAGTATCAAAAAAGCGAAATGCATTGTATCGAACCCCCTCCCCGTTTTTTTAGAGGACGCGTCCCTTGCAGAATCCTCCACGACGGATCCTTCGTCCCGATCCCGAGGTCGAGCACTCCGCCTCCTGTGGCAGCGATGAGCTGCGCTGCAGAGGACTCTGCTCGTAGCTGCCGATTAGTCAGCTAAAATCCACTCCATCGCCTCATCCGAACAGCCGGATATGGTCTTGTGGAATGTGGCTGGGGCCATCAGTGCCCGGGCTGCTATCATCTGGAAATTCTCCGAGGCCCGGAAGCCACTCCTGGTGCAAACGCATCGGCACACTATCCGCTTGAAGGCGATCCGAAACTCGTTGGAGAACAGGGCATAGATCATCGGATTGATGGCCGAGTTGCAGTAGCCCAGCCAGAAGAGCACCGAGAAGACCGTGGGCTGGATGCAGTTCTCGCAGAAGGCCCGTATCAGATACATGGTGAAGAAGGGCAGCCAGCAGACGATGAAGCCGCCCACGATGATGGCCAGTGTCTTGGCCGCCTTGGTTCCATGCGGAATCGCTTCACCTGGAACTTGGCGCTCCGCTTGCCGGCACGCTTTTTGGCGAAAGCGAGGTGGTGGACAGTCCTGTCTCCAAGTCGCCAGACGGAGCAGCTGCATCCAGATTGAAGGTGGTCTCGCCTATGTCAAAGAGGCTGGTCTTGAAGGAGGCCCTTCGTCCGTTGGCGCTGCTGATGACCGCAAAATGGGGTGAAGGAGGCGGGGCTGATGGGTGGCGTCCAGGACATTCTCGGAGGAGGGAAAGGACACCTTGATGGCCACCTTCTCGTGCCGCTGCGGCAGACCCGCATCGAGGTGGCTCGCTTGGGAACCCTCCCTGCAGGTGATCCTCGCCAGAGGTGCCTCCTGCTCCTCCACCCCACCTCCATTGCTATTTACGCTGAGGGTGGAGGACATCGAGTGTACCGAGAGGGGAGTCCTCTGGGGCGTGGAGCAGGGTCGTCCTCGGTGGATACGCAGTATCAGCTGGGACTCATCCACCCGATTGTTGCCCGATTCGCGGGGACTGCCTGCAATTAGTGATTGGTAGCAATTGGGCGGAGTTTGCTTCGCGGTGACCTCTGATGGATTAATTTCGGTGGACTGGTGGACTGGTGGTCTGGTGGCTTTGTGGTTTCTTTGGATTGGATTGTGTGTTTGTGGTGTGTGGTGTCCGGATGTGGATGGATAACATGGATGTTGGACATTCAGCTTGTACTGTACATGGACATGTGGTTAAATGTTCGAGGTGATTGAGTTAGATACATTCGCATAAGTAGATGCAAGATACATTTCCCCTTGAGTAAGGTAAAAACTTTGTTGACTGACACTTCACAGAGAGCGGTTAACTAACTACAAACTGGTTACATTGAGATAGTTTGAATGGTGGAATAAACTTACGAGTAATTGATAAAGTTTAATAAAATGCTGCTCTACTTTTGTAAATACAAACATATTATTTATAGATAGAGAAAAGGGGCTCATTCCATTATAAAAATCGAGTACAAGAAAAACTTACAAATTTTGTGGCGTTCTTTTTCGGTTGACTAAAACTAGTCCAGGCATTTTTATTTATTTTGGGGTTCTTGGGTTTTATGGATATTGATCACATCGTTATTTATAAATGCATAGTATGTTCGGTAACTAATTGTTATAAACAAGTTTGTTAATTTATTTGGGTTGTTTGTAATGTCTGTTGTTGCTTCTCGTTCGAGTTTTTTCACCCGCAGGCCATGGTTTTATTGGCCCAATTTTATTTATTATTCTATGCGGGATAGTCGAAGGGTTGGGGTTTATGGATGGCTAGAAATGGAATTGAAATGCCAAATGTACTCCATGAAAATATTAACGACAATGATCGCCTCTATGAGAAATAATACTTTAATGAATTGCCCCAATCGATTTGGGGGCTACCTTTTCCAGAATTGGCTTAAGTAATTAACCGAAACAGACGAGTTCATTATTTATAAGTTATCGTGGCATGGCAGACAGCTATCATTTCCGAGTTGTGAACTGAATAAATATTTCCGACATCTCAGATATGTATCCATGTTGAGTAAACACAGTTTCACTCGGAGTTATCTTAATTTAAAGCGAAGCATGCCGCATTTTCATTTGCATAAACCATATTAAACCTATTGATAACAAATATGGTTCGCCTATGAGTAAACGAATGTGGGCGAAAGGAAAATGTGTACAAACAAGAAGCCCCACATATGCCGGATACAGTAAATAAAAAAGGATACACTATTGATTTTTTCCACCCTATACACCATCCAAACAAATAAACAAAAAAAACGAAAGTTAAACAAACAATTTGTATACAAATATATAACGAAAAAATATCCTAATGTAAATATGCAAAGATATGAAGGCGCAATCCCGGCGAAAGCCTTATTCTTTTCCCTTTTGTACAGGACCTCGGGATGTTTTTGCTTCCTGCGGCGTTGTTGATTTAAATAAATGTATAACTTTTGTTTTCCACTTAGGATAATCCCTGCACATAAATGCACATTGAAATGGTTGTTCGGATTTCACATTTCACATTTGCCATTTTCCATTCCACTGAGAACGCTGTTTGCTGTCCATTAATTTGGCATTTTCAATTCACCCGCCACATTTTTGTGTGCGCTTTGTGTGGCGTTTTTAATTGCATAGCATTTAATAATAATAAAACAGCAGTTTGGCATTCGTCTGAATGTCGCGGGGTAATTAGCCGGAATTGATTTGTCCGCCGCCAGTTGTTAAACGCTTGCGGACTTGCATGTGCGTTGTTGTCGCCAGCTCTTGACCTTTGAACGTTGGCCTGGTCGGGACAGGAGACAAGTGGCTGCAAGTCAAGGCTCGGTGGGATGAGGACTCAACTCAAGACCGCCTGCCAGAGGCAGCTCGCACGCAAGTTGCCCGGATCCTTGCCATTCTGTTCCGCTCTGCTCTTGACACAGGGCCAGGGTCACACTTCTGAAATTTCTAAAGCCTAACAATAACAGTGGCCCCCTCCCGGTGGTCGGCGCCATGAACCTCGGCAAGTTTTGAACTTGAAACTTGATTACCTTCAAAAGCCACGAAAAAGGCGCGTGGGATGGGTAGACCTATGTATGAACCCCCAAAAAATAAAGAAAACCCTGGCAAAAAGCATCAGAACCATCCGCATTGTGTCACGGAGCGATTTCAGACTTTTTGCACGCACAGGCAAGTGGCCCATATATATGGACGGTGTTCAAAATAATAATATGGGACAAAATATGGAGTGTTCAATACAACCAGTGAGCAAAATAATATCACAGGAAAATTATGAAAAATCATATAAATTTATATTCCCCAAAGAAATAAGTTTTGCACAATCTGTTGGTAACCGAAAAATACGTCTGAATATTATTTCAAGTGTTTAAGTAAATCAAATCATAAATAGTTTTACAGGTATAAAAACGATTATAATATACTATAATAAAAGATTTCCAAATTTATCAGCGGTACTTTGGTAGTACTATCCAGTATTTAAAGAAAATTAAAGATGGATTTCCTTTAAGGCAAAAAAAAACATCTACATTAAGAATATGGTATTTTCCTCTGCTCATTAAATGAAAAATTGAATAAAGAGATATTTTTAAAATAATACTGTGAGTTGAAACAAAAAAAATTAAAAAAATAAAAATTACAAACAAGCAAAAAGAATAATTAAACAACAAATTTTAAAAGGAATTATAAAAAAAAATTGTAATCTTGCTATTTATTTTCTTGGACACTATTATTTTGAACACCGCTGTGCTTTGGAAAACTATAACGAGCTGCCCCTTGGTGTGGGTGTGTTGGTAAACAGTTCTCTTTAGTTGTCTGCGAGTGTGTGTGTGTGTGTGCGAGGAGACAAAGCATATTTCAAGGCTGCACACACTGATTCTCGCCTGTGTGGGTGAGAGAGTGGGCGGTTGGGTGTCTGTTTGTGTGAGCTGCTGGCAAATCTGAGCTTTGTGCTCGAAATGGCGCCAACTAACGACACGACAGTAGAAAAACAATAACAACTGCTGGCCCCCAAATGCCCTGGTACTTCCCATTTCCCTCCACTATCCACTCTACACTTTCCCCCTTCCTCAAATCGACTTAACTTAACTCCAATATGGCGGCAGTCGGTGCCCCAAAGTATGCAATCACTTTTAAAATGCAATTTTCGTAGCATACATCCCAGAGCCAGCAGGATTTGTGGGGCTCATATATTAGCAGGAACATCGATTTGCACTGGCACACTGGAATAGCCTGGCTATTGATTTTCTGGGCAAAGTCAGTCGGTCAGTGGGTTGCCATAGTTACTGCAGATTATCAGCGAATGCGTGCTGGATATAGGATATATAGATATATGTCCCAGAAGTGTGCTTAATGAGCTGATCACGCGGAAGAAAGTGCGCTGTGGCCGTGGCCGAGTAATGTGCCACATATACGAGTATTAAAATAAACATACAATGCCAGTTTAATGTTGGCTTCAGCGACTTCAAACGGCTTTTCTTCCCGGGGATTATCGCCAGCCAACGGGGCCTCTGGAGGTCTCAGTCTCCAGTCAGGCCTAAAATGACAAAACCTAAGAAAATACAGATTCGCACAGACAGCAAACAGAACCTAACAGGGAAGTCATATTACTTTTTTTTGTCTTAGTCGATGGGTCGCTTTCATGTCTGCCTCTAATGGCTGAATCCAGCTCTCATTTAATCCCGGCCTCCTTTTTATCTAAGCCGATTTGTTTGATGTGCTCCCTCAGCATTCATCGATTTTTTGCTTTTGCCCATGCCAACGGAATATAATACTAATTATGATGCGTGACGTCTCCTTTGAGCATGTGATTGATATAATACTGTGATAATTTAAAATGAACTGGGACATGTGCGGGATTTTGATTCCGGGTCTTAGGGGATGAATTATATCTTGTCAAGGACGATTGGTAATTCTAAAATTGGAAAATCCAGTTGGGAACGATTCGGGTTCATGACAGGTTATTCACATTCTTAATTTGGAGCGTTTGTTAATCACACGCCTCTATATGTTCACTTAGATGGGTACACTAAAACGCTAATTAATATTTATGAGTTTGGACTTCTCGGTGCTAAGTTATAATGACATTCATTTAAATCATGTTAAGGGGATTTAAATTACAAGGACTTTAATTTAATCCGTATTTTACAGAGTTTTTTTAGTGGTATTTTATATTCATTCTGCTCGCTTTTATAAAAATCAGAGCTCTATTTTCAGTTGGTTGTAAGGGGTTAACTTTGTAATGCCTGGGCTTTCACTAAGTGTATATGCATATATGTATATTTATAGATTTACTCATTTCCAGGTTATTTATCATGTTTTTTTTTTATGTGCAAAACACAAAAACAAAATGCCGACAATAATTGTATGTATACATGTGTGGATGTGTGCGAGTAGTTATTTATGAATGTAAATTTAGTTGTCTATTTTTTGTTTCAATGCCGCCATCGTTTCGATTTATACAGTTCCTCGTGTTTGCTGAGCACCAAGTTGTTATTTACTTCTCCGACAATTTATGCTTTTTTTCGGGAGGCAAGGTCGAGTAGTAGTGGGTGGTTTCGTGGGGGGTGTCTGGAATGCTGGGTGTAAGTCTGTACACTTTTCTATCGGCAAGGTAACCAAAATAAAACGGGACAAACGGGACGTCACACTATTGACTACACGTTGAGAGATTTGAAACTGTTTAGCAATCGATATTAAAGCTTGAATAAAATGAACTAGCTACGTGATTACGTTACTTATTTGGTAAATCGAACAAATATTTATATATATATATATAGAGAGAGAGAGATGAGTATCAAAACCAAACTGTTAGCTACGCACACGTTAGGACAAATTGTGACAAGGTGACAAGGATCAAACAAATCGTGTCCAAATGAGCTGGTGGTTGTGGTTGTTTTGGCCAGTTAGCTACGGATTCGACTTACCCTTGGTGGTCTTGAAGCCCTGATTGATGGCTCGGGTGGTTCTGACGGCGGCCCTATAGATGCGCCATAGAAGAAAGCATCACGAACATGGGTATATAGAAGGAGCCCAGGGCGGATACAAAACATAGCCCCGATCGTTGGTCAGCTCGCACTTCCAAGGACAGCTGCCGGAAATGGTCTGGGGTCTGTTCTGCGGCGGTGAGTTCAGCAGATCGAGATCCATTTCCGTTTCCGTCGTCGTAGACCTGCTGGTTGTACTACTACTCGTACTGGTCGAGCCCATGGCGGCAATCCGTATCTCCGCGGATCCATCGATGGGGGCGAAGTCAGGATCGTAGGGATTGTACGCGTTGCCATTGCCCATATGCGGCGGAGGCACCGAGGCCTCATCCTGTTCCTTAATGCTATCTAAGCCTAGTTGACCATCCTCCGAGCTTGACATCGTGGTGGTGTAGTAAAGCGTATGGTTTCCCTTTGGATAGGTCGGCTGTATGACCGCCTGGAATGGAGATGCGAGATGGGAGATATGGAATCATGAGATGACACTTGATATTCGGAGGACCCCATTAAAATTCCAACCTCGTCCTGGCACCCTCTTCACTCGTCGCGCTAAGAAGCCAATAAAAATGCAACTTAAAGCGGGTTATATTGCCAGAGATATTCGCCGACGTGTTGCGCATAAATATTACTCGTGCCAAAAGGTGGCGTTAACAAAAAGCCAACAACAGCCCGGCGAAATAAATGCCGCCAGCAGGATGTGAGAACATGTTTGGCCATGTGGCCCACTCCACGGCTTCCTGCAGTCGAGCCTGTGGAGCGACGTAATAATAATCGATGCCAACAGCCTCGACTCGCTAACCGGGTTTCGATATGTCGGCAGGCTGAATGCCATCCATTCAAACGTGGCCCATTCAATTGCACTCAGCCGCTGCAGTTCTGAATCGAATTGAATCGAATTGAATTGAGTCGAGTGGAATGCGCAGGGATGAGTGTCCTTCGAAGGATACATTTTCGTGTGCTGCTCGGACGAAGCCATCATATCATCGCCACCTTGGGGCGATCGATGTCAGCCTGGGCAAACATAACTAGTGGGGTTGGCTAAAAAGGCACACCAAAAAAATTTGAGAACCGAAAAAGCCTAAGATCAAGTTTGGTCGAGAGGAATCGTTCTTGAAATCAAGACAAATATTCTAAGCTTTGATTTTCTCATGAAGCAGTCTTTAAATGTATGTAAAAGTAGACTTAAGTTGGTGTTTCGAAACAAAAGTAGTCCTGAGTTGAGAAATTTTCTTCTCACTTGTTCAAGAATAAATGTTCTTGAAATCAAGAGCAAAATGTTCTAAAATTTGTTTTTTAATATGAGCTTATTTCGAGCTTGAAAATTGATCTTGGTTCACTTTTGGTATCGAGAGGACTCTTTTGAAATGAGAGCAACAGCTTTGTGAATTGTTTTGAGAACTGATTTGGGTACTGTTTTGGGAACGGTTTTGAGAACTGTTTTTTTCTGTGTGAAGGGCCATTAACAGTCGCTGGGCCAAAAGCCAGATCTGATTACCCACTGACAGGGGTGCCCATAAATTGTACTCTCGGCTTGTTGGCATCGTTGTTGTGGCGTGTGTAACACATCATTATCAGTGCCATTGCGTAAGAATAATGCGAAAGACGGAAGCATCATAGAGGGTGGCGAAATTAGAAAAGGCACACCGCCCTTTCCCCAAAAAAGGGACGAAACTCGTGTCTTGTTTTACGGTAATTTTGGCACAAATGAGCCGGATTGCAGTCTTTGGCACGAGCAAGTGTCGGTGCCATTGTCGTTGTGGTTGAGCAACCACTGCTGCCAGCCCCAAAATGGTGTCAATGACAGAATGGCCCTCAGTTTCGGGGCTCCGAAAAACAACTTTCGGCTGTCGCTTGGCTTTTTTGTTCTTTATAGGGCTTGAGCGTGCTAAAAACAGTTTACCGACTTTCAATTTTGTCGGCCCCTTTTTGGTTTCAGCCCTTGGCAGAGACAAACCGCGCTTCCCCTTGTTAATTTATCGCATCGGGTCACTTGTGGGTCAGTTGCTGGGCGAACTCACCTTTTGATCCTTCCAGCCGACTAGCGGCGGAAAGCAAATAAAAAATGATAGTACCCAAATGCCGGCGATTAAGGACTTGGCCTTCTTCGTGGACATGATGCTTGGGTAGGTGACGGGTCGCGTGACCGCCACATAGCGGTCCAGGGATATGGCACACAGATTCAGGATCGATGCCGTGCACATCCAGACATCGACGGCCAGCCAAATGCGGCACCAGAGATCGCCGAAAATCCAAACCTGATGAAGGGAATAAAAGGTAGGAAGAATGCTATAGTACTAAGAACTCCAATTTGGAATATTATGGAATAAAAAATTTAATCGACTATATCTCCATCATTACAAATAAATTGTTAAGTATTTAATATTTAAATTATAATTAAAGAAAACTGATATTTATTCGACTTTAAAAAATCATAATATATTTTATAATAAATAGTCATTCTTAAAAAATTATAATATATCATTTAATAAATTAAGCAAGTACTGAATTAAAATGGATGACTGCAAAGAGTTTCAGGAATTTAAAATCAGAGGTAATTGATTTTTAAAATTAACTAAAGTGGCTTAAAACCCTTTTAAAAATCCAATTCAATGCTGAGGATTAGAACTCACCTTGAAGACCTCCCAGGTGGCCGAGAAGGGTAGCACCGCCAGACCCACCAGAAGGTCGGCCACGGCCAGGTTAACGATAAAGAAGTTCGTCACGCTGCGCAACTTATTCGAACAGAAGACGGCGGCAATCACAAGGCAGTTGCCACCGATGACCAGAACGTTGATAAACTCGAGTACGGCCAGGGAGATCAGATTGGCTGGTTCCGTCCATTTCACAGATTTGATGAGATCGTCGCACTCTGTCTCATTCATGGCGGTACTTTTGAGATGGGTGTGTATCTGTGTTCACCACCTGCAATGGACAGAAAGGAGGACTTTTAGCAAAAACATTGACTACCATTCGCCTAATTGCTGCCACAGCCTGGCCTCGCGTGCCTAATTAATTTATAAAAAGGCTGGCCTATAAATAGGCTGGAAATGAATGAAGTGGTCGTTAAAACAGGAAATGAAAATGTGCAGGGTGGTCAGACAGCCATTACTCTATTTTTGGGAACAATGCAAAGGTGAAGATAGCTTTTTAATAATTGGAAACCACAGTTTTCTATAAATGGGCCCTAAAATAGAAAATGAAATTATTTTATGGCTGATTACCCTTTAATATTTATTAAATTGAAGCAAGTTTTCAGTTAGCCTTTAATGAGTAAAAAGACTCGCTGAAAAGAGAAATCGCCTCAAACCATTTATACAAAAATAGGGCAATTAGAGGCAGAAGTGAACAAAAAGAGGGGAAGGATGTGCTGGGTGGACCGAAATATAAAGGAGGATATACCACAACGCCATCGGCGTATTTGCTTAATTGTTTTGTAAGACAACATAAGCCCAACCTTCAAGTCTTATCCGCTGCTGACCTGCCCGAATAATGGAAAATTAAATACTTGCGGGTACATAATACCGCCATAATGGCGTTGGGAATTTCTGAATGGACGAGGGAGAAGCCATACATTTCTTGCTCACTTGGTATTCAGCTGCAGTTGCACATTGCAATTTAATTGCCGTAATTAATTGCGGTCGTTTATAATGTGTGTCTAGTTGTGTGTACGGTTGTGTTTCTCGGGTAAAATCTATCAATGAATTGGCATGCGAATCGGCAATGACAGCACAATTCCATTATTGAGGGACTGAATGAAGAGATGTTCATTCAAATGACTGATATGGCGGACATAATAACCGATAAACTACTAAATCAGCTAAACAAGCAATCAAATGACATAAAGCGAGCTCACATTCGCGCACGATTTCGGTGCTAATCAATATTTGAAATTATATTTGACTTTAATGGCTCGACACGCACCAAAAATTTGGGGAAATAGCGAGTCACCAAACCACATCCCCTGGGTCGATTTTTGGGGGTAATTGCTGGGTATGAAATATTCACAGCACGCAACAAATCGATTAAAATATACATCTACCCAAGACTAAGAACCCTGGCTACAAATTGTGTGAACTTTTGGCAAGTTGCCCCCAGGGCCAGTTGGCAATGTGCCTAAGAACACCTGTTTTTGGTCAGTTTAATATTTCCTTAAGGTGCTTTTAATAATAAAGAAGAGAGATCTTAGGGAGAAAAAGGCCATAACAAAAGTCCAGAGCCATGGGAACCTGTTCGGCCCAAAGTTGCCAATCAACCAAACAATATCATATCGATTTGTAAATTACACGGGGCAAATCATTGCTTAAGGGTTAAGTTCAAGGTAACACAGGTTGTTACGAGGGCAACCTTTATAGAGCGACCTGGGGTTAATCAAAGTATGCCCAACATTTGGCAGTAGCCAACGGATATTTCGCAATAATGCCAATCGGGGTGGCTAAAGAAGTGCGTGTACGAGGCCCGCATAAATTACTCGCATGACAAACAAAATGCAAAGGCCAAAGTGAAGCTTGTCGAAAATTGTTGCCAGTTGTAAAGTTTAAAAGCATTTTTGCCCAGGGCCGTGGCAGGAAAGCCTGCCCCTGCCCTCCCTGCCGAAACTCGAAGCAAGTTGATGGCATTTTCTTGGCGCACAAAATTTGCATGCCGAATTTTGCTTTGTGGCAGCTAATAAGGAGAAATGCCCAAATTGAGTTGCACGCCGAAATTCGCCAACATTAAATTGCCGAGTGTAATAAATAATTGGCATTCAAACCGAGTTGTAAAAGCTTTTTCGCCCACGCAACACACGCGGCGTATACGCATTCCCTTTTTGGCCAATACCCTTGGAAAATGAGTGGATGTGAAAATTGAATAACAAACGGCAGCAGGTTGAAAATTTAGACTTTTGACGAGCTTGTTGATTTATAAATATTTCATTGTAATTTAACACAGAATCCTTATATATATATTTAATGAGTATCATAAGCTTCAACTTGCCGATGCATCACTGCCTTTTTGTTCCATTACGCATACGCCTAGTTGACGATGCCATAAAGGCAAAAATTTTAACTGAGTAGGAGCTCAGGGGTGGCGCTTTGAGGCAAAATTTAATTTAATTACCGCAGAATTAAAAAGTTAGCAGAGTTCCTTAGACGAAATTATAATGTCAAAAGGCGTAAAAAAGTTGTGAACACATTTTGCGTGAATCATAAATAATTATTAAGATACAAATTACTGTTACACATTTATTTTCTACGAGTGACTCACTTTAAAGCACACAATAAATCTTACTGAAAACTTTTTTTCTGTATAAGCTCCAGAATTTGTTATTTTCAAAGTATTTACAAATCGTAATTTAATTGATCCTTTTAGCTTTCATTTTTGCTACAAACAATGAATACATATGAATATTTACCCTTTCCATAAAGTCTAAATCCCGTATGTAACAAAATTGTTTTTCCCTTATTGACCTAGCTTTAATAAAAGTCAGTGCATTTCCCAACAAGGAATATTTAATGCATATTTACTGAAAAACAATAGAGACAGTTTTGCTGACAGTTCTTGTGCATACAAATTAAGCATAAAATTCCATTATCGCAAAATAAATATTAAATTACACTCACAATGAACCGGAATGGAGGTGAAGTTTTATGAAAGCCCTGCACTTTTCCCCCAAATGGGATGGGAAACCCGAATGCAATTTGTGTGGCACAGCTAGAGAGGAAATTAAAAGCACGAGCAAAGAAAGTGAAACCACAGGAGAAATTGCACCAAATCAGATTTCTGAAAAGTTGGCAGGGAAATAAATTGCAAAGTGCCAGGGGCATTGCAACAAGTTGATTAAGATAAAGCCGAATGGCAATTCCAGGATCTGATTTTATCCACCAGTGTTCCGAGAATTATATTTAAATAGATATTCGTAGAATTCTCTGGTTGGTTAGTTGGCAAAGAATAAATTATTTTGAAATATGATAAATTAAATTTTAAACGAAATTACATTTCGCCTGAATTGGACGAAACAATAAGTGCATCAGCATGAGTGACCCTTCCGAAAAATTAAAAAACTTTTACTGACAATGCCGCAACATTTGTGGCGTAAAATCAAGTTGCCACCAATTAGCCGGACGCGTAGCTTCGGTCGCTAAATGAGTTGAATTAAAACGCGAAATTTGCAACAATTTCCAGTGGCCACATAACCGGAAAGCGAGCCATTACACACAGCCGCAAAGGCTTTTACCCCCACGCAGATAAAACAATTTTGCGGCCTGCTGATTTCTGCCAACTGCAATTGCCCGACGACAGTTCCCAGCAAAAAACTTTTAATTTAATTCTGATAATTGCGCGCGAATGGCTCCCAAAACATAGAGGATTCTGGTGAAGCACCAGTCCCCCAATTTTAGATCAAATAAAGCCAGGCAGGCCAGAACTTTAACATTCGAAACTATCCTGGGTGGGGGAGGAAAAATCGCTCTCTACACTCAGAAAATGAACCATGATAGAATCAAGTACAAACAGTCTTGATTTGAGAACAATAACATGCCTAACATTTGTAGAACGTTCGTACTGGAAAGGTCTTAGATTGAGAGCAACTTGCTCTCTAAAAATTCCCAACGTCTGATTCTCTAAGTGCTCAGTATCAATCAAATATACTAGATTAAAGACTAAATCATTCTTGATTGTAGACCAAAAGTTTCTTAAATCTAAGCGATATCGAATATTTTATTTCTTGTAAGCCGTATTTTGTTCTCAAGATCAGCTTTTTCTATGCTTGGCGGAGTTTTGATACTGAAATTGCTAGCTCAAACAAATACTTGTTTTTTTCTGAGTGTAGGCTGGAAAATCCCTCAGTATGCGAATACTTAGTTGAAAATCAAATGCAAATGACAGGCGAAAGCCTCTCGATGTGTTCGCTGGCTTTGTCCGTAAGCCGAGATTTGCAAACTTCTCCAGTGATATCTGGAGTGGTCTTGTCGAGAAGCTGTCTCTGGCCCTCTGCTGATGGTGTTTTCAGAAACAGAAAAGCTGATTTATTATGAAAATTACTTGAAGTAATTAAAATTTAATTAATGGCTTGCCTGGACGGATAATGTTAAGTAGTTGGGCACCATTAGCAGATCCCCCATGCGTTTTCCACTTTTCCCGCCATTTTACGAGCGAACGTGTGTGCGTGGGGATACACAGCTTTACGATTATCTGGCGGAGACACATAAAAGTGTCCCGTCTTTGGGATACATATATTCATTGGATTTATTGCCGCTCATTTGGCGAATGGTAGTTGCAGCAGCGGCAGCTAGGCAAACAGACAACTACAAGATAATCAATGTCGAGCGCACACACATCATCGTGTCAGAGTTGATTGCAACATTCACGTGGACATGGGTGTGTGGGCGGGGGCGTCGGAAAGGGGGGGCGTGTGGCAGGATGGAAAGGACAAATTCACCAGCGCCGTTGGCGAAATGTGCAACTGACAGCTGCTGCAGCAACAACACACAGCTATGGCCACACAACTAGGACGTGCCTACAACTGTCAACTGTTTCCCTCTAAGGATCTTACATATAGTACATACACCTACTCCTTTTCCCCTGATGAGGAGCTGTGGGGGCGTGGCAGGACGTGCGTGCCACTTTGCCACAAAGGCAAACGGAGCAACGGCGCAACGGAAATAATAACAGGAAATGTTGCCAACTAAATTTTTAACGCATAGCACAAGTTCTAGAACCAGCTTGACTAATTGTGCGCGACATGCATTCCATTCCTTACAAGTCCTTAGGGTAAATAGAGTCGCAAGCAAATTGTTTGATTGATTGCTGTTTGTGTAAGTTGTCAGAGAAATCAAGATACAAGAAGGAATGCCAGTTCTAGCCTAGAAAGTGAAACTTTCATGGGGTTTAAAAATAGAAATCGTGCTGCTCCACGGTTCTTAAAAAGGGAGCTTAATTGGAACTCACTTGACTATCACACGGAAGTCTTCTATTTCATTTTAAATAGTTTTTCAATTAGAGAAGTTTATATTAATATTACTATTTAAGCTTTTCCTAAAATGAAATGATTCTTTAACACAACTTTAAGAACATTTGGTCCGAAAAACATTTGAAATAAATCAATAGAAATTAACAACACTTAAGGGTAGACCTTGGTTATTTAAATATTTCTTAAAGGATGAAGATAGAAAGATTCCGAGAACACCAATTATCTTTTATTATTAGGTTTTTACTCATGATAAGAAAGAACTGTGGGGTATTAAAGTGTTTTAAAATTTATGAGTAGGGTTCTTAAATAGATTCGTTTCTCTTAGCAAGCTACTCTTAATGATAAGCCACAAAAGAGAATTCGCACTCTTTACTAGAGCCCGATATCCGTAAATTCATTTTTTATGAACAATGCGAGTATTGGTTTAAAAAAATTAATTTCCCGGAAAGTGATGGGAAGGGTTAGCATAGGTTGTGAGCTGCTCAAAACAGCCGGTCATTTAGCTGTACGCCTTGATTTGGCTAAGCTACAACAGAAAAACTGCAAAAAAATCCGTTTTTTTGACTAAAATCTAAATCCCATTTTTCCGCCCTAAGAACTTAGTGTTTTGGCTGGCATTCTGCTAATAAAGCTCACAATAAGGAATGTCATACCTCGTTGAGCTCGTCATTTAAATTCCTATCCATTGGCATTCAAAACTAGAAATATTTTATTTTTGCCATTTTTCGCAAAAAAACGTGATACCACCCCTGAAAAAATGCGAAAATTGGTCAAAAAATTAATTTCCCAAAAAGTGATGGGAAGGGTTAGCATAGGTTGTTAGCTGCTCAAAACAGTCGGTCTTTTAGCTGTACGCCTCGATTTGGCTAAACTACGACAGAAAAACTGGAAAAAAATCGTATTTTTGACTAAAATCTAAATCCCATTTTTCCGCCCTAAGAACTCAGTGTTTTGGCTGGCATTCTGTAAATAAAGCTCACAATAAGGAATGTCATACCTCGTTGAGCTCGTCATTTAAATTCCTATCCATTGGCATTAAAACCTGGAAATATTTTATTTTTGCCATTTTTCGCAAAAAAACATGATACCATCCCTGAAAAAAATGCGAAATTTGGTCAAAAAATTAATTTCCCAAAACGTGATGGGAATAGTTAGCATAGGTTGTTAGCTGCTCAAAACAGTCGATCTTTTAGCTGTACGCCTTGATTTGACTAAACTACGACTGAAAAACTGCAAAAAAAAGGGTGTTTTTGACCATAACTTAAAACCCTATTTTCCGCCAAAAAAAATTAGTGTTTTGACTGGCAATATGCAAAAAAAAGGTCCGAGTAAGGAATGTCATACCTCGTTGAGCTCGCCATTTAAATTCCTATCCATTGGCATTAAAACCTGGAAATATTTTATTGTTGCCATTTTTCGCATGATACCACCCCTGACAAAAATGCGAAAATTGGTCAAAAAATTAATTTTCCAAAAAGTGATGGGAATAGTTAGCATAGGTTGTTAGCTGCTCAAAACAGTCGGTCTTTTGGCAGTACGCCTTGATTTGACTAAACTACGACTGAAAAACTGCAAAAAAAAACCGTATTTTTGACAATTACATAAAACCCTATTTTCCGCCAAATAAAAATTAGTGCTTTAGCTGGCAAAATGCAAAAAAGGTCCGAATAAGGAATGTCATACCTCGTTGAGCTCGTCATTTAAATTCCTATCCATTGGCATTCAAACCTAGAAATATTTTATTTTTTTCCATTTTTCGCAAAAAAACATGATACTACCCCTGTACCCCTTTTAGCTGTACGCATTGATTTGGCTATTATTATTATTATTATTATTATTTTATTTCATCATTATGTTTCTCTGAGACTTATCTTTGCCAATAGAAGGTGCGTTTATAATTCACCTTCCTTTTTTCTATTTCTTCCTCAAAAATCTTTTAAGAAAAAATAAGTAGTTATAGATTTGAGTGCATTTGGTAAAAAAAAACATTAATTACTTTTTGAAAGGAAATTAAAGTATTTTACTCTGCGCTTACAGAGAGCAAGACACTTAATTTACCAATAGCTATTGGATACTTTAAAAAGCTTAAATGCTTAATCCTTTCATTGAGAATCAAAAATACCCCACAGCAATTTAAAGCAGAACTTGAGGGGAATCGCATTAAGAGGCAGCTTCCGTGAGGGCCAAAAATAGATGCCTTCCGATTTAGCCTCCTCTGGGGTCCGTTTACTCACCAATATCAGCAGTTTGTTGGGTAGTTGTAACCATGAATTACAGCTCGCTGGGCTCTGTTGCTTTATGGCCATGTTGTTGATGTGGCTGCCGTTGTTGAAGCTGCGGTTGTGAATGGCAACCGGTGGCCAAAGCGGCTGATGATGGCGGTACCGATACCGAGTCCGATACCAAGTTTGCTCCACTGGATTCCCGTGCGTCTCGTGGGCCCCGGCACCCGCAGGCTGTCTCCATCCAGAACCACCTTGTTCCGGGGTTTGGGGGGGGATACCTATGTCAATATGTGCCCTAATAGTCCTCAAATCGTGGGGTGCAATATCGTATGTTGACACTATTGTTTGCACGACCCGCGGTTTACATATCAAACATGTGTGCAACAGCCAACACTCTGTTGTCAATTATTTGCGAGTCCTGCTGAATATTCCACATGAAATGCAAGAAATGGCTGCAATAAAAAGTATACAAGCATTTTTTATCAGTCACACGGCGTATACGCAATTTATCGTTCAACAAGTCACGAATTTGTTGGCAGCCTGTCAGTTCGTTACTGTGAGCTTAGAAAGTTATCAAGAGCAATTTCGAACTATGTCTTTATGTAGTAGTAGATTTTCTGATAAAATGTCACGTTTCTAGAGTTTAAATCAGCAGTTAGTTTAAATCGCTTGCGGGCTGGGGGTTTTTACTGGTTTTTGTGTAGAGTTCTGCAAGCCACTTAGATGACAATCAATAAATCCAATCGGTTTCCTTGGGCATCCAGCAGAGACTGACAAAAGCTATCAGAATTTACTAATTGCCTGGCAGGAAACTTTTGCCAGTGACTGTGAAGAAGCCGTGAAACTTTTCAAGCCTTGCATTCCACTGAAAAGTTATGCGCAAATAAATAAACAAGTAAGTTGCTCAACAAAAACTGACAAGTAACTCAATTTTGATTGAGTGGGCCTTTCCAACTTCTTCTGCAGTTTTCAACTTTGGTAATCCTTAAAGCATTGCCTACTTGATAATACTACCTCGCCCTGATTAATTTGTCCATTTCGCAGAGTTTGTATTCCACTTTCACGCCCTGAATTTATTCCATTTCTCCCATTTCACACGCTGTCAGCTTGACAGGGGAGTTTCCAGATGGCCTTTTCTTCTTCGCTCTTGGTTCCGAAAATTAAATGTCAAACTGCGTTGCCACAACTGTGAAAAGATGAGAAATTGCATTTTCACAGGTAATTTGCATTTGCTGCCGTCTTTTACCTTACTTTTTTCCTTTCAAATGACCGTCCACGAACGAAATCCGAGTGGGAAAATAACAAAAACAAGGATAAAATCGATAGGTAATCAATGTTTAATAACTTGAGCGTGTCCCTTGACCATGGTGTCTCAACCGAAACTGAGCCAAACTCGGCCCAATTGAACCGGCAGGACTGTGGACATTGTAAACATTGAATAAGTCATGGGTGCGACCGAGTTGTAGAGTCCCTGGCGCCTTCGCGCATATTTAATGGGGGTATTTTAATAAGACCACGTTCCCCGAAAATATCCCAAATCATTCTGGTCAAGCAGTTGGATACGAATATAAAGGGCCGAATGCGTCATTTAAATTTTCGGCGCGTTTTCGGCCAAGAAGGTCAAATCATTGTCAGGGCCTGGCCAAAGTCCTTTCGGCAAAAGTCCGCTAATAACCATAATTTGTCTTTAATGACACTCAGCATTCGCTTCTATTCATTTGGCACTGGGTGTGCCATCCAGAGTGGACGAAACCTATTAATAAATGTATTTATATTGGCCTTATGGCCGACCGGCACGTGAACAGTGATTCACTTTAAAGCAACTCCTCATCCTGGCCCGAAAGCCGTGGGATTAAATGGCGAAAATGTATGCAAATTTAACAGGCTCTTTGTGCGCCATTATGGCATTATTCACTATGAGCCCGTCATGCACTGATCTCATTTATGCTCGTGTTCGCTAAATTAAATCAACTCACCGGCTTTGAGTTGGCAATGTGCACCCTGCCATGTCATGTGCAGGCACTTTTATCCTTTTATCCTTATATATCCTTATATGCTTATCCTGGAAAACGACGAGTGACTTCTGAGGAGTTAGGGGTAAAACTGTGCGTTGCATGCACAATTCACTGGCCTGGCAAACTAATTAGTTGCCTGCCGAATACGTCTAAAAAAGACCCAGTGGCTCCCAAAGCAAATACACACGAAAGGGTTAATTTAATGCTTGTGGGTTAAGGCTTAAGTGAAGAGGATTCCCGGAAAGAAAGAAAGAAACAACACAATCTCATTAGCTTAAGCAAACACAAAGGAATCCAATGAATTTCAAAGCCGTAGTTCCAGGAACGTCTAGCACCCCGAATAAATCACATAAAGACTCATTAAATATGAATTTAATATGACCAGACCTTAGTATTAGCATGGCAATGAAGGTTTCAAGTGGTTCCGATTGTTCAGCTCGATAATGATGCCCTAGATGGTCGTAAAGTAAACAGATAGAGCATAAAGAGCTGTGGCAAGCAGGAACCACATCTACATCCACATACGTCATCGACGGGTCGACCAAGTGCGCTGTGTTGCCAACTGCGACAAGGCGAAATCACTCGACTGCAAAGAGATTGAGATTCAGGGCCACTTAAGTGTCATTACATTTGCCTTCGCCTCGCGTTTCCTTTTGGTCCGCATTCATTTGTGAACGTGTTTGTTTGTTTTTGCCCCATTGTAGCCATTCATTGTTCCCGTGTTAAGGTGAAAGTGGGCAAAACAACAGCCAACATCTGTACTGGGGGGAGTGTTCTTTTCTCCCCCCACTTGTTTACTGTATGCAAAGTTTGTATTTGCTAAATAGGATTATTGTTAATAAAACGGGAGTATTTTATTTATACGCACTTATTTTTGGCTGCCAAAAATAATGAACCAGTTTGGGGCAACGAAGACACCTTTGAGGGGAGTTTGATTTATTATTCTAAGGTTACCTAGGTGAAAAAATAAACCTTATTTTGAACTCTTGGCTAAGAATTTCCGTTCACTTCCTGGATTTAAATCCATGGTGACTGTAACTATTTTATATGTAAGTACTTTGTAATAATGAAAACAATTTTTAATTATCGTAATCAAGATTGTAATATTTACAATAAAAAAATAATTACAAAACTAATTATAATATTTCTTAAATTATTAAACTTTGAATGCTGTGTATTACTTACAAATTGCAATACATTTAGTTCCAATTTTACATGATATTTATACCCGTTACTAGTAGAGTAAAAGGGTATACTAGATTCGTCGGAAAGTATGTAACAGGCAGAAGGAAGCTGTTCCGACCCATAAAGTATATATATTCTTGATCAGGATCACTAGCCGAGTCGATCTAGCTATGTCCGTCTGTCCGTCTGTCCGTCTGTCCGTCTGTCCGTCTGTCCGTCTGACCGTCTGTCCGTCTGTCCGTCTGTCTGTCCGGATGAACGCTGAGATCTCGGAAACTATGAGAGTTAGGCTATTGAGATTTGGCGTACAGATTCCTGAGCTTCTTACGCAGCGCAAGTTTGTTTCAGTAGACTGCCACGCCCACTCTAACGCCCACAAACCGCCCAAAACTGAAACTCCTACAGTTTTGATGCTAGATAGAAAATTTTAACTGAAATGTATTGTTCTCATCAATACCTATCGATTGACCTAAAAAAAAGTTTGCCACGCCCACTTAAACGCCCACAAACCGCGAAAACCTGTGACGCCCACAATTTGGATGCTAGATGAAAAATTTGAACTGAAATGTATTGGTGTCGTCAATACCTATCGATTGATCCAAAAATAAATTTGCCACGCCCACTCTAACGCCCATAACGCTTAAATCTGTCTACCGCCGGTAGGTGGCGCATTTTAATTTCGCTTTGCTGCTTGCATATCTCCATTTCCCTTTGAGTAACGGGTATCTGATAGTCGAGGTACTCGACTATAGCGTTCTTCCTTGTTTTAAAATAAATTCCTTTTTTATTGCCTCTTTCCAAAGCTTCTTTTTCTCAATCGCTTTGAAGAAATCCCTTTTAAAGATTATAGTAGCCCAGAGATGGTTTAAAATTCTGCACATTCGTGTGTAAGTAGTTAATGGCTTTCATGCTCATTGCCGTTCCAAATGTACACAAGCCCACCCACATGTACAGCTCGTCTGACAAAAGATTTTATGTGCCATGCACAACGAAATATAAAAATTCACACTAAGCCGAACCCCTTTTTACCCCATACCATTCTATCCCCGACTTTACCATCCCAAAAAACACACATGTCAGGCGTTGTCTTGTCTTTGCCTTTACATACAAAATTGACTGTGAAAACGCTTTGGGCACTTTGGTCCTCTGTTTGCACACACTCTCGCTGGAATCGTCCTGCCATATAGCCATATAGCTATACTATATAGTGCAGGACCATATACATATATGTTTATACATATAAGGGGGCTCAGAACTTTTCCTTTTATGCCGGCTTCTGACTGTCTATGTCGTATTATGTTCGTCGCTCGTTTCTAAACATTTGTATTTTCGTTTCGCGCAGCTTTGCTTTTTTATGTGCGAAATAATTTGTGTTTGGATTTTATGCTGTCATAAAAGAATTTTCATGGCAAGGCCCGAGCTCGGTTGCAGTAAAAAACGGTTGAAAAAGTCGCATGAATGGGTTCGCAAGCCCGAAGATTTCCACATTTGGCCACGCTTCATCAATTAACTAATGAATGCCAAGCGTACTGAATGCATGAACAGCTGCAGGAGTCCATTGATTGGGATTGGCATTGACTTTCGTCAACACGCACGTAATGCCAAACACAAAAGCCAAATGTTGCCCCGTAGCCAAGTTGCAAATTAGATTAATTACATAGCCACACACCCAGGAAACCAATTGGGTTTTCAATTCATTCGATTCGGTTCGATTTGATTCTAGATTGAGGAGCGTTGTTAAAGTTCGGGGCTGACTAATCGAGCAGCGAACAATCGGATTCTGGATGAGCAGATCATATCATCTGGCTGTGACATCGAACAGATAGCTAGCTGCCAAACTATGAGTTGTTGCCAATTCGGGCTGCCAGTCAAGATGACAAAACAATTGAAATCAAATCCATAAATTGCTTTTCCCAGCAAACACAGAATTATATTTTATTTTGCATACGATGCAATCGCAAATGACACTTTATCTATAGTATTTCTGGCTGGGCGTTGGAAAGCCAAACATGGCACGATTCTCGGATGGGGAATTGGACTGACTGGGCTTATGGAGGTGTGCAATTAATTCAAAAGTGTCTGGCGAAGAAAGTTGCAGTCATTAATTAGCATTTCCATAGACACTCGGTTGAGTTCTTGTGCTTGTGAAAGTTCTTTGCGGGTCGGTCCTCAGTTCATTTGGCACGTTTCGACTGAAAAGCAAAAAAAAAACGGAAAAAGCAAGAAAAAGTGCCCTAGGACCAAGGACCTGGGAGTAAAGCTCATTTCCGCTTTATATTTAAACACTTGGGGGCTAAAATGTTTGCTCTACTATTGCCACGCAGTGCAAAATCATCATAAAAGGCAGGGAATGAAAAAATAAATAGCCCAGGCCCCAGAGAGTGGCCTCTCCGGTCGATGGACCATGGAACTCGAAGCTCGAAGCTCGAATCTCGGAGGTGGGAAACGCTTAGCAAGTGGATTTTTAAATTAGTTTGTCGACTCGACGACGACGACCTCCTCCAATTTTTGCAGATAAAAGCCAAGTCTTGAGACTTCCCAGAAGCGACGTCCTTTTGGCAAATTACTTGGTCGACTCCTGCTTGCTTATTTAAATGAATTAGGTGATTTTTCAAGAGCTAAGCCCGCCACGAGCAGTGAACTCATTTCCGTTCCAGTTGCTCTTGGCCATTGGCCATTGGGCTCTTCATGCTTCATTTGGCCTCCACTTTGTGGCTGCATTGCAATGAGCTGTTAATTTGCAGGCCACTGCGTGTCAATCAAAACTTTTTACGAGATCTGGCCCGGGAAATTTGATTCCCTGCCACCTTTCAGTCAACAGAAAACACAATCATCGCCGGAAAAAACTCTGGGGGCTTCGCATCATAAAAAGTGCTCGCTGAGTGTTAAATACATTAAGCAGATACTTTCCGTTCCAGATACTTTTCGTTCTTCTTTTTTTTGGCAGATTCCCGGCCCACACGCTGCATACG